ATGAAGTCATCTTCTTGGCTTTGTCATTGCCAAAAATAAGTCATTGGTACATGTTTCTGGTAGTAGCCGACATACCAGCAGATGGTCCAGGCTCTGTGTCTCTCTACATTCACATAGTGAGTTGTTACCCATTAAAAGCCATCACTTGAGCATGCTGGTTTTACATTTAGGCACTCCAACTCTCAACCTATTCAGGATCCTCCAGGTAGTATGAGGGAGATCAGATCCTTCAACCATATCCTCCTTTAATGTTATTCCCTGCTCAATGTTCTCCTTCCTCCATCTTTTAATTCAATTTTCTTTTTGTGTACCTTCAAGAATGTTTGTTCTTGTGATAAAGCTTGCCTACATCTGAGTCAGCGAGCATGGGGCATATGCCCGTTCAGAGGATGTTGAAGATCATTCTCTTGCTTAGCTTTCTTGTCATCTGCTGTTACTGAGTCAACTGTGTGCAGCTGCTGCCAAAAAAGCCATTGCAGTTCTAGGCTTCATAAACAGAGGGATAGAATCAAGATCATGTGAAGTGTTAATACCACTTTATAATGCCTTGGTAAGGCCACATTTGAAATACTGCATTCAGTTTTGGTCGCCATGCTGTAAAAAAGATGTTGAGACTCTAGACAGAGTGCAGAGAAGAGCAACAAAGATGATTAGGGGACTGGAGGCTAAAACATATGAAGAACGGTTGCAGGAACTGGGTATGTTTAGTTTAATGAAAAGAAGGACTAGGGGAGACATGATAGCAGTGTTCCAAAATCTCAGGGGCTACTACAAAGAAGAGGGAGTCAAATTATTCTCCAGAGCACCTGAGGGTAGGACAAGAAGCAATGGGTGGGAACTCATCAAGGAGAGAAGCAACTTAGAACTAAGGAGAAATTTCCTGACAGTTAGAATAATTAATCAGTGGAACAATTTGCCTCCAGAAGTTGTGAATGCTCCAACACTGGAAGTTTTTAAGATGTTGGATAACCATTTGTCTGAAGTGGTGTAGGGTTTCCTGCCTAAGCAGGAGATTGTACTAGAAGACCTCCAAGGTCCCTTCCAACTCTGTTATTCTATTCTATTCTATTCTATTCTATTCTATTCTATTCTATTCTATTCTATTCTATTCTATTCTATTCTATTCTATTCTATTCTATTCTATTCTACTTCTCTCCTGATCTTAGGTGGGGTAATGCCAGCAAGAGGGTATATTTACTCAATTGATGTAGGTTTGAGGCATCCTGTCACTAAGCATACTGCTTCATTGACAGCCACATTACCTTGTTTTATTTTCAATTAAAGGACTTTTTTTTAAAGCAGGTAGGACAAGGAATCTCTAGTGCCAAGGCAAGTGAACATCCATTGCTGTCCCATTGTCTATTTGTTGCCTCTAGGGTTAAGAGCTAAGAAGAATTCCATTTTAGTAGCAGCTTTCTTCTAATTTCTCATTTTATAAATTGCAGGATATTAATTTGGCAAGGGGGGAAAAAAAGCACTAATATCCACATGCATTTCCATGCACATTTCTTCTCAAGTGTAACATTTTTGTCCATACTTAGCTCAGAATATAACCTGATTTTCTCCTAGAAAAATACATTTTTGTCTGAATAATTCTCTAATAAAAACATTAGGGGTATATGCTACAGTAAAGTATAGATTTGGGACTTTTATGTGAACTAAGTGCTGAACAATACTAAAAGAAAGTCTGTAAAGTGCAGATTTCAGCAATATTTGGGTCTCTAATACATTCAGCAAAAGTCTGTAGAGACTCTCAGTCATCCAGGTCATTGTTGTCCCGAAGGTGCTTTTTCAGGAGGCTACTGGACTTTCTTTTCTTTTTTTCTTTTGAAGACGTTTCACTTCTCATCCAAGAAGCTTCTTCAAAAGAACATCTTCAAAAGAAAAAAAAAAAAAACCAAGAAAGTCCAGTGGCCTCCTGAAAAAGCACCTTTGGACATTCAGCAAGAGTATGGAGACCCAGGTGTAGTCCTCTCCTAAACTCATATGCTGGTTACGTGTCTTTGAACCAGCCTTTCCCTCTCAACCCTAGATTGGGTAGTTGAAAAACTTTTTTTCAACTCACACTGGGACCAGGATGGTACATTGCCCTGGAGCCATTTTGTCTTGCTATGTCTTATCTATGGCTACCTACGGGACCGCCTACTACCACCAATAGCCTCCCACCGGCCGGTACGCTCTCATAGAGAGGGGCTCCTCTGGGTGCCGTCAGCCAAACAATGTCAACTGGCGGCCCCTAGGGGGAGAGCCTTCTCTGTGGGGGCACCTACGATCTGGAACAAGCTCCCCCCGGAGATACGGAGGATCCCGGATCTGCGCACCTTCTGCCATGCTTTGAAGACCTTTTTATTCCACTAGGCGGGCCTGGCCTAATTTTTTTCCCTCTTTTCTTTTTAAACATGCAAATTTTAATCTGTTTTTAAACGACTGGGGTGCTTTAATTTGTCTGGGCCAAATTATTTAATTCGATTTTATCCTGTTTTTCAAATTTTGTATTTATGTATTTTACTGTTTGGTTGTTCACCGCCCTGAGTCCTTCGGGAGCAGGAAAATTTGATAAATAAATAAATAAATTTGATAAATAAATCTTCACTGTAGACTTTGCATGAGGACAATGAGATGTTTTAGGATTTTAATTTTCCTAAGGTCCTTCCACAACTTTGCATGGTCTATGCAATCAAAGGCTTTTTTTCTTTAATCATCAGTCACCAGTAAACTTGTTTTTGGAGATTGTTGGCTTTCTCAATTATCCAGCATGCAACATCTATAATATCTCTTGTTTTTCAGGTTTTTTTAAACCATATTAAACATCTGGTATTGTCCTTTTCATATACAGTAGCATTCTAACAAGTTAGCATGTGAAATTAAGGACATTGTGTGCTGCTTTGCAAGCTCTGTTAAGTCTCCTTTCTTTAGTAATGCTCAGAGTTCCAAGTAACACCCCCAATGAAAGAAGACTCCAAGGCTTGAATTTCCTTAAAGTTCCATTTTATTGAAGATGTCATATTATCACATCTGGGAAAACCTGAATCTGAAAGCTTCCAGGTTTTCCCCACCCAAAAGAAAGTTCAAGTCCCTGCCCAGCACCCATATGTCCATCACATGATCCAATCAGGCACCATGCAAAACTGAAGATACCTCCCAGTCCCCTCGGGGCAGCTGCAGGGCACCGTGGCCTTTCCTCTCTGAGAAAAGAATGTTATTTTGACTATATATCACCCAAGCTCTATACAATCCCCCCCTCCCATTTTCCCACAGTAGAAATAATGTGGCAGGCTTGAAGGCCCAACTGTAAAAGATGTCTTCCAGGCCTGACAGCTATATAGATTGATCTCTTCCGCTCTGTTGGTCACTGTATTGTTTTCCACATTTGTAGACCTAATTTTGTTAGAACCTTAACAGATTCTTCTTCTGTTATTTGCTATATTTCTGTAGGTATTCTATTTCTACCAAGCCTTATGACTTGGTAATTATTGGAGAGCTGAGCTAACTTCATCTCCTATTGCTTATAATGATGAAATATCTGTTAATACATGTCACTTGTACCAAATTTCAGTATGTTCCTTCCACTTTTGTTTATTCTTCTTGGAATCATTTACTCTCTGTCCATTTGGCATGTTTCAGCATACTACTTTGGCAGAAAATAACTCATTTCTTCATATCTGTTTGCTATGCCTTATAATACAGATACATTTTTTTTCCTTATTATTTCCAACTATAAGCAGTAATTCTGCCTTTACAACTTCAGATATTCTTCTCTCTCTCTCTCTCTCTATTTCCTTCCTTCCTTCCTTCCTTCCTTCCTTCCTTCCTTCCTTCCTTCCTTCCTTTCTCATCCATCCATCCCTCTTTTCTTTCTTTCTTTCTTTCTTTCTTTCTTTCTTTCTTTCTTTCTTTCTTTCTGCATAACAACATCAGCAACTATGTTATACCTACCATAAATGCCATTAGTACTCCAAACAATCCTCAATTCTCAATCCTTAGTAGGATGCTTATGCCTATTTGTGTGATTTTTATAAAAATAAAAAAATATATGAATGGTTTAGTATTGTCATTTCGTACATATCATGAGATTATGCTCTTGCCATTGTCACTAAAGTGATCATCCATTTCCAGTATCTTCCTATGTCGCTGTTGCCCAGTATAAGTTGCTACTTGCTTTAACTGGGCAGCTGGCATAACCTTCATGGGTAATGTTCCTAAAGTATATACTCCTGACATTCATTTTTGTTGTTCTTTACCCTCCCAGGAACATGCCACCTTAACTACCACCACTACCACCAAGATAAGGCAATCCTGCCATAATTACCAATATATTAAAGGCCTCTGTATCCAGTTCTTGCAGTTGTTTATGATGGCAGCATAATTTATAGAATTAATGCATGAATGCATGATAATATGAACCAATCATAGATCCTCCATGTTCGGAGATCTGGTACATTAAACTTCACAGAACCAAATGACACTATTTTATGGCTGTGGCATAAATGGCTGTTCATGCTAATCACATTCAAATGATACATTTGATTTGTTTATCAGTTTAAACAGCCATCAGAACACACAGTCACATCAAATCAACATTTTCATTCCTAGCATGGATGAGATTCATTCAGTTTTCTCAATTGCTCTGAATTGTCAAATCTGTTTTGATCTGAAATCACCGTCAAGTTGAGTATCAGAGCTGAATTTTCATAAAGAGGTTGCATTTTTGTCACATTTGGGGGCAGAGGTTTGATAACCCAAGACCATATAATCAATTATTCTGAAATTAAAGCCAATTCACACCCTCCTTTTTGATGTGGACAAATTACCTCATGAATGACCTTGTATCAGACATCAATCATTCACTGAAGAGACAATTCTCAGTATTTGTTATAATGAAATAGAACTAATCCTAAAATAATTTTCTTGGTTTCTTCAGTACTCAAATAAATCTCTGCAATTCATGTTAACAATTCACTTAGTAAAGGCAATCCACCAACATATTTCTAATATTTCAGAGCCCCCCATTGGACAGATGCACCCTCCGCATGGAAGTGTAACCCCTCAGAAGAACAGCAATCTTCTCGTCGTTATTGTTGTGACTGTCGGGGTCATCACTATCATTGTGGTGGTGATTGTGGCTGTGATTTGTACAAGGCGTTCATCAGCACAGCAACGAAAGTAAGTCATTTGAACATCTTTGTCAATTCGCTCAAGGGCTTGAGATACTTAATATCATTTCATTGTAGGGAGGTTTCCCATTGATTTCATTTCTTGAATTGTGTCAAAGTGTTGATGGCACTACAGACAAGTAAAAACTGTCTAGCACATTTCTGTGACTTGAAGAGCAATCCAGATGGTCACTTAAATATACCACGATGATTAAGAAGTACAGTAATATACTGAATAAATGATTATTTCCTTCTTACTTAACTATACCATGATGATTAAGATTGCTGGGGCCTTTTCCCATTAATGTAAATCTTGTAAAAATAGAGTAGCACAAGTCTGTTATTTGGACGGCAATCCAGATGGTCACTCAGCTATGATGATGATTAAGAAGTACAGTAATATATTGAATAAATGATCATTTCCTCTTTCTCAAGATGTGAGTTCAAACTCACCTTTCCTGGAGCAGGAATTAATAGAGCTTTCATATCACCCAATAAAGTTGGCAATCTTCACTGAAGTTCTTTATTTTTAAATCACCAGAGCATTTATCTTAACTATTGTATTGAATTTAGCAGCATGGTTCCATTATATTTTCAGATGAAAGACAACAAAAGAACTGCAATGTGAACCCTGAAAAGGTTAAAACCCAAAGGAAAGATTGAATTCCCATCTCCACAAAGAAAAAAATGCAAGGGAATTGAAACTCTTGGTTCATATGGAAGATACAATCTGGCCTATTTTGCCAAATATCCAAAGTGCATGACGTATAAGATGAACAAGTGGAGAATGAATGTTGGAAGATGAATGGCCATTTATCTTATTTGAAATTTAAGATCATTAATGAAGCAGCTGAGATTCTAGACTGAAGACTTGGCAGAATGAGAAGCAGAGATGTAGATATCCCAAGTGCTCTTGGGCAGTTTTTCATAGCCTGGATAATTTTCAGATACCTGTACTTCAACCCCCCAGTATACCTCGGCCAATATGACCATTGCTGAGAATTCAGGAATGGTGAGTCCACACATCTGGAAGTTGCCCAAATGGGGAAAAGCTACTTTAAAATAACTCTATCCACTGTGATTTCTCACTGATAAAAGCCAATCAAACCAATACAAGTGAATATTTGTAGCTCTGGATTGAATTGTGGGGTCCTTGGTGATCTCTGAGCTTGGTTGTTTTCTTGCAGCTGTTTCATTACCCAATGAGATAACATCTTCAGTGCTAGGCTAGGGCTAGGCTGGGTAATGAAACATCTGCAAAAAACAAACAACCAAGCTCAGGGAGCACCAAAGACTCCACAATCAAACCAGTGTCAGATCAGGTCTTCCATTGGGGCTAATGAAGGTTTGCTTATGATAGCCCACATCCTTGTCTCTTGTATGTCTGCTAGACTTCCCTCAAAACCTCCTATTCCAAAATATTTATGCTTTCAAGTTCCTTACCATGTTTTGCCCCAAATGTGCTTTTTCAAAAAGCAACAGTTCTGAAGAACGAAAGAAGCTTCTTGGATGAGAAGTGAAACATCTCCAAGGAAAAACAAAGTCCAGTTGCCTTTTGCAAAAGCACATTTGGGCCTGTGCGGATTGTTGCTGATCCTGACGACGAGGAGGCTGGTTTGGTGTCACGCCAGCAGCCTGTACAGCCGGCGCTTGAGTCGGACAGCAAGGAGGCTGAAGAAGATGTGGTGCCAGAGGCAGGGATTCAGCCAGGGCCTTCAGAACCTCCAGAGGCTCCTTTAAGTGAAGAGGATGAAGTGGAGGAGCCTCTTCTCAATGCATGAGCACGCAGAGCTGCCAAAAGGCAGGAGTGGTTACTCAGGAGGAGGTCTCCTCGAGAGTAAGGCTTGGGGCTAATTGGCCACTCCCTTAGCCTATTTAAGTTTGCACGCAGCTTCTAAAAAGCTGCAGGAAACAATGCATGTTCATTAGCTGATCATTGAATCTGGATTTTCTCTGCAAACCTTGCTTCTGGGCTTTCTGCCAACTCGAGTAAGACTTTATCTTATCTGTGGAATTTCTTTAATTAAGGACATTTAATTAACAGCCTGCATTTGTAAAAAAAAAACTACGTTTGGAAGTAAATTGAGCTTTGTTCATAGTTTGTGTGTGCTGTGTTCTCTGGGATTCTCCGTAGCTGGGGCAGAACATCGTGTGATCAACAGCGAGCATATTGAAGTCAAAAATATGACTTTTTCCGTGAATATAGAAGTATTTCCAAAGTAAAATAGACATGAGAATTTGACTTAGAAGGGTACTCTTCTTATGCCTTAGAAAACCATTAGTTTGCACCCATTAAAGTAGAAGCTAGCTTGATTAAAGTCAATCTTACAATTGAAGGCAGAAAATTAAGCTCCTGTTAAAATGCCTTCTAGCCTATTTTTTCCTAATGGTGACAAGCAACCATTAGTCTGGGACAGACTTTGAAGATGAGTGGTGAAAATGACGAAGGATCACCCAGGTGCTCAGAAAATATACAGTATTAGCCATTTCAGGCTCTCAGCCATTTTTCTGTTGGATAAATTTCTGCTTTCAGCTTTGCTCACAATCTCTCTGAGCTCCAGCATTGTATTTTCAAATATTGGCTCTAACACTGAGTTTAGATGTAGTTTGGGCCCTGGATGGCCACAGGGAAGCTGTTCAACTGTACTCTGAGACTACTAATGACAATAACTCATCAAGCCCAAATTATATATCCTTATTGCTGCATTCACTATATCTGAGGCTCCCTTTATCAAAACATGTACAAGGAAAAAAGGTAAAGATTTCCCCTTTTCAGATGTGTGACATTAATAGATTAACAGATTAACAGAGTTGGAAGGGACCTTGTAGGTCATCTAGTCCATACTCCCCCCCCAAAAAAAACAGGACAGCCTACACCATTTCTGACAGATGACAGTCCAGTCTCTTCTTGAAAGCTTCCAGTGATGAAACTGTCACTACTTCTGAAGGCAACTTCTGTTCCATTGGTTGATTGCTCTCACTGTCAGAAAATTTCTCCTTATTTCCAGGTTGAATCTCTCCTTCTTCAGTTTCCATCCATTATTCCTTGTCTGTCCTTCAGGTGCTTTGGAAAACAGATTGACCCCCTCCTCTCTGTGGCAGCCCCTCAAATATTGGAACGCTGCTATCATGTCTCCTCTGGTCCTTCTCTTCACTAGACTAGCCATGCCCAGTTCCTGCAACCTTTCATCGTATGTTTTAGCCTCCAGTCCCCTAATCATCTTGGTTGCTCTTCGCTGAATTCTTTCTAGAATCTCAACATCTGTGGTCTTACTAAGGCTTTTAACAGAGGTATCCCTCTGTTTATGCAATTTAGGATTGCATTGGCTTTTTTTTTTTTTTTGGCTGCCACCGCACACTGTTGGCTCATACAGGGTGGTGCTCATCTCTGTTTCTTAGCCAAGGAAGCCACCATTGTCCAATGACACCTCTGTGGTCATGTGGTCAGCATGACCATATGCCAACGTGCACAGAACGTTGTTACCTTCCCACCGAAGTGGTACCTATTTACCTACTCGCATTTGCATGCTTTCAAACTGCTAGGTTGGCAGGAGCTGGGGCAAATAATGGGGACTCGCCCCATCATGTGGTGCTCAGGTCTCAAACCTGGGCTGCCAGCTTTCTAGCCAACAAGCTCAATGTCTTTAACCACTGAGCAATTCTTCCCCCCCCCCCCACTTATGTAAAAGGAAAGAAGGATGGAAAAGCAGCATTTCAATGCAGAAATATCTTCAGCTAAATACTATCATGGCAAGCATATGAATCTATATTTATTTTGTGTCAGTTTGCCATTGTTTGAATAGAACTTTGAGCTGCTGAACTTTTTATACGATACAGTAAGATAAAACTGGCATTTATACCTAGCCACTAACTAAAAATCCCTGATGCTAATCCTTTCTGAGCCATCCTTTCTTCCTATGATTTAAGCATTTCAAACTGCAGAGATGTAAGACTGCCTCTAACACTCAGAGATGTTGTAAATAAAAAGGAAAGGGAGAACTTTTATTTTTAATTATATTGGTGAATGCAAAAGAAAGTCCCTTTCTTTCAAAAACTATCTGTTAAGACTTGCAAAAAGCAACTCTGATCTCTTTTAGGTGTAGTCCTAGATTGCCTTGTTGGCACTGAACAATGCACTGGTTTTCCAGCCACAGTCCTTGTTGCAACTTTTATCTCTCTGTGTTTGTATTTGCATTAAACCAATTGTGTTTCCTTTACTGGCAATGCGTACCACAAATAGATGTGATGGTGCCTTTTCCTTGGTATTGTTACAGAGATAGTAGATACATCAAGCATTTCCCTTTTGAGATGAATAACTTTATGCAAAGAATAAAAAGGGGAGTAAGGAATAGAAAGTCAAAGAAATTAAAAGCGAGAGATGAGAAAAAGAGAAGCGAATATAACTAGATGTAGTAATGCTAGCACCATCCATAATGCAACTTTCGTATCTTCTATCCTTGCACACAATTGCTTTCCACTGCATTCATATATCATAGCATACAGGATCTTTTGTTCCTCAAATTTCTTACATCTCCCTTTTCAAGAATCTCATCAACTCCACCAGGAGAGGATTTGTTTTGGTCTTATTGTCTCTTTTGAATGGTGTGTAAATATGATTTATTGCTGTGTCTGTTGATGGATGATTTGTCCAAATGCTAGTCTTCAAGGAATCCCCCAGCAGTTTTGGATTTAGCTTGGTCCAAGATGTTCCCATTTTCCCAGTTGAAACTATAGTTGAATCTGTCCATGTACTTTGAAGTTAAGGAGTTTTCATCGTGTCTCCTAACTACTAATTGGTGTACACAGATGTCCTCAGCTAGGCTTTTGCCTCTCTATCCTATGTAGTCACTGTTACACAGTCCTTACAAAATATGTTGTAGATAATTCCTGTTTATTTCTTCTGGGGTTGCTGGGTCTTTTTGGTTTGCTTAAAATGTTTTGGAGAGCTTTAGTTAGTCTGTGTGCTGTGGTAATGCCTTGTGGTTGCAATAGTCTGTCTGTTGTTTTTGA